CCTCCCCCCACAGCTGGCCCCTCGCCCACCTTGCAACAAGCTTAAATCTCCCCCCCCCCCATAACTGTATCTAGCCTCTATTAGTCTAGCAAGTGTGCGTCCGCCGGGCAACAAAATATCACTCAGTAAATATACATGACAAATGTTGCCACAACACATAAAATTCCTGGAAAATTCCACCACGAATTGAATCAAATGATTCTAGGCTGATAAGAATCTACCAATAGAAAGAACAACCATAGCTGGAACATTGTCATTGCAGGACCACTGACAGACTGCACATTCTCATAACCTTATGACCCCTGGCAAGTGTTGACGTCCAAGGAACAATTGGAAACCTGAGTGATCAATAAAGATCCTTGGCAACCGGCCATGGTCGAGCAGTCCGCTTTTCAGCTGAATCAGGAAGTGCATGAAGTTTAAATGTAAGCAAATACAATGTACATGTACGCGAATGCTTTCAAAAAATAAACAGGACACCGGTAAAAATGAGAATTTATTTTTAACGAAAATGAAAAATTTATCAAGATCCCTATTTGGGTAATTCCAGGAATTAGGGGTCCAAAAGTGTGACATTTTTGTGTCCATGTTACATCAGACCTTTGTTATTTGACATGGAAATATCACCGGAATTGATTTCAAACTACTGGTATTACTACATGTACATGTATTTGTCTGACAGGTAATTTGCATCAATTCATCACTTTTGGAAATTAGAAAATGTGTTCCAAACTCACAAACTCATACTACGGTAGTATGTGAGATGTGACAGGAACATTTAAAAAAAAAGGAGCCCTAATTTCTGGAGTTACCCATTTCTGTCTCTCAATTTAAATGTGCCAATTAACGTATCTGTTAATATGATTTTTTTATACAGTGTTCAATGTTCACGTATATACACCTCAGGCTTACATAAACTGTAGTTTATGGGTGAACTTTTCAGTACATGCAGACTTTTGAATAGTATTGGTGGTTTTGCACCAGTACTTTTGGGGATGGTGGTGGGATGGGGGAGGGGGAAGACAGGGGGTGGGATGGGGGAGAGGGGAAGACAGGGGGTGGGATGG